TACTTTAGCTTTTAGCTGCTCTGTTGATACTTTAGCTTTTAGCTGCTGTGTTGATACTTTAGCTTTTAGCTGCTCTGTTGCTACTGTAACTTTTAGCTGCCTGTTGATACTTTAGCTTTTAGCTGCTCTGTTGATACTTTAGCTTTTAGCTGCTGTGTTGATACTTTAGCTTTTAGTTGCTGTGTTGATACTTTAGCTTTTAGCTGCTGTGTTGATACTTTAGCTTTTAGCTGCTCTGTTGCTACTGTAACTTTTAGCTGCTCTGTTGATACTTTAGCTTTTAGCTGCTCTGTTGATACTTTAGCTTTTAGCTGCTCTGTTGCTACTTTAGCTTTTAGCTGCTCTGTTGATACTTTGGCTTTTAGCAGCCCTGTTGCTTCTGTAACTTTTAGCTGCCCTGTTGCTACTTTAGCTTTTAGCTGCTCTGTTGATACTTTGGCTTTTAGCTGCTCTGTTGATACTTTGGCTTTTAGCTGCTCTGTTGATACTTTAGCTTTTAGCTGCTCTGTTGCTACTGTAACTTTTAGCTGCCTGTTGATACTTTAGCTTTTAGCTGCTCTGTTGATACTGTAACTTTTAGCAGCCCTGTTGCTACTTTAGCTTTTAGCTGCTTTGTTGATACTTTGGCTTTTAGCTGCTCTGTTGATACTTTGGCTTTTAGCTGCCCTTTTGCTACTTTAACTTTTAGCTGCCCTGTTGCTACATTAGCTTTTAGCTAATGTCTGAGCCCATAAAGAGTGTGATCCGGTGACCCAGGTGATCTTGGTGGTCCTCTGCAGGCATCGTCTCCATCATGACCCTGGCGGCGCTAGCTTACGAGCGCTACATGCGGGTGGTCCACGCCCAGGTGGTGGACTTCCCGTGGGCGTGGCGAGCCATCGGCCACATCTGGCTGTACTCCCTGGCCTGGACGGGGGCTCCGCTGCTCGGCTGGAACCGCTACACCTTGGAGATCCACCAGCTGGGCTGCTCCCTGGACTGGACCTCTAAAGACCCGAACGACGCCTCCTTCATCCTCCTCTTCCTCCTGGCGTGTTTCTTTGTGCCTGTTGGGGTCATGGTCTACTGCTACGGGAACATCCTCCACACCGTCAGAAGGGTGAGATCTGCTGATTTATTCAGTAAAACCAGAAGCAACAAGTCAAATCAGGAGATATTTGAAGCTTTTTTAACTGGAGCATTCTTTTGTCTWATTGCTCGTCCTGCATAAAAAACATTGATAGTCTCTTTATGTTGAAAATTAATTAATTAATTGAAATTTTATGGTTTGAAATTAATATTATTTTTGAAAAATAGGGGCAGTTATAAGATATTTTTCTTCTTTTGCTGCCTTTCATTTAATTTAATTAGTATTTTTTGTTTTATGTGAATTTGTTTCTTAAATGAAATGAATAAATCTAAAAAAAAAGTAATAATTCTTACAAAAACACACTTTAGAACATTTCTTGAGAACATCTAAAGAAATAAAATGCTCTAATAGCTAATAAATGGCAGCTGAAGTCAGATGACCTACATGTTTCCTGCGTCAGTTTCATCTCTAAAATATTTCGTCTTGCTGGAGGTGTGAGCTGCTCTTTTCCACGGAGGCGCGAGCTCGATTCCCTGAGGAGGAGTCGTCTCACATCGCAGCACTTTGGGGAGAATCTTCAAAGAGAACATCAGGATTGTGTGGAGCGTCACACCGAGCGTTGGCCCGCTTCATCAGAGATGGATCTGAAAGCCGTCAGACCGAGGCGTAAAGAGGCGGGCCCTGCGAGTTCATGAATAAAAATAGAGTGTTGGGACTAATCACATCCTCTCTGGTGCTTCAGCTGAAGGTTATATCTGATCTGCAGTGTCTCTGTTTGTCATTGAGCTGCTGCCATGTTGTTTCTGAGCGCTGGCTGTTATTACCTCGTGTTCTGACCCGACTCTCAAGGGGAAAAAGACAAGTCGCATGGATCCAAATGGATGGAAGCTGAGAGTTTTATTCTGCCGTGTGCTGTAGGAGATACTGACCAAAAGATGAACCACAAATATTTGTGACATTTGTGATCTTGATTATTATGCAGTTTAAAAGGATCCATGATTAGTTGTAACATTAGACTTTATTTAATAAACATTTATTTTAACGGAAAAATAAAGACTGTAAAAATACTGCAGTCTGTTTAGTTTTGTAAATTTTTAAAAATATGTTTTAACACGGACTGAGCCATTTTATTTCCACACAAAGCATTCTGGGTAAATGATGATGTGGATAGGTCCTCTGTGCGAG